CTACTCACTTTGCTCTGTATTTCAACCCACCTGCCTCATATTATTGCCATTGTTATCATTATTGTGGCGTCGGCACCATGCTTGTTTACAAGCCGGTGTAAAAAATAAATATTATTTAATACACCAAAATCATGTCTTCTCGGATTCGGCGATACTGTGCAGAGTACAGCCTCAATGACTCAAGTCTTTCCACATAAGTTTTGGAATGCAATCACTTGACGATTTTGGTGGTCATTTTTTGTGGACGCTCCAGAATCTTACGATCGCGTTGCAGGCATGGATTTTACAGTTGAATTACACACTCTATGTGGGGTCGAATGTAGGTTAATAAGAAAAGTGTTTATAATATGATGAAATAGTTTATTTTTAAATTTCTGCATTAAGTTCCTTTTTTAGTCAATAAATGAACTCGTACCGAATCAACCAAAGCACAGCATAGAAGAAGGTGAATGTGAAGCAGTGAATGCGCCGGAATTCCTCTCAATTATAGAAGCACTGGATCAGTTGGCTTCAAATGGCTAATGCTCGTTTACTGGGGTCTACAACTGATTTAAACACCACGTTTGTGGATTTGCAAAGGAGAACCAAGCTGAGACAAACAACGGCTTATGATTGCTAAAAGGATATCCTTGTAAGCTGCAGAGATTTTTCTTCTGCAATTCTGTGGGGCACTTGAATGCGGTGATCTTTGTAACAGTGATCACCAAAGCTACGGCTATTCGGTCTATCGACGGGCTCTGTCGCACTAACGTGTGAAGGGACGAACGATAATCGCATTTGACTGATCAAAGTCAAAGTCAAAGTTTTATCATGGTCGTTTTAACAAAGCTAAAGCTTATCATGCCCCATAGGATTTTTACAGTGTTTTGAATAACTTCACAAAGAGAAAATAACAATGATATTAATGTGCGTGATCACTCACGGATGTTGAAATGTTAAGTGTTCCAATGCTTTATCAAGTTGCGATTTAAATATTTCAACTGTAGGAGCACACACTACATCAGATGGGAGAGAATTCCATGCGTCGCACACTCTGACTGCAAACGAGTGATACCGGCAATCAAGGTGGCTGTTCTGGGTCTTCACCTTTAGTGGATGTCCCCTGAGGTGATCATTATGAGATTAAGTCAGNCAGAGAACGGTTGGGTTGATGCAGCATGTGATATGCCAGTATTAGGTCCCCTCGAAGTCGGCGGTATTGGGATGAATAGGGTCCCAATACTTGCAGTCTTTCGGGGTATGTCTTGTTATATGGACCTCCTACCAATTTCGTTGCCAACCTCTGCGGTTGTGTGGAGTAAAATGTCAGATCCAAGCAATCGATGGGTGCCTTCGCGTGGACGCGCCCGTGTGAATGAATGAACGATAATCGCACTTACCCTTACCACCGTACTGACGAAATTGGTTAACGGTCACCGTAACCCCGGTCTGACGCGCCTCTGTTTGAGCGATGCACTTCTAATTTGTGAATCATATGTTGAACTTAGGTTCAACACTTATGTTTACCGACACTGACCCTCAATAATGTATCAGTTGGTTCGAACGTAAACTGACAACAACAAAAGCGAACGAACGAATAGATGTCTGCAAACGTAATGCTACACATTTTTAACTAGAAAATCATGAATAGATCGCACAGCAAACAATCAGTTTGGAATATGAGAAAAAAGTCAATGTGCGGAGTATATCCCCGCAACAGATATTTTACTTTTAGATGACAATTTCCTTGGAATGCCATTTTATGTTCCGTGTTTTAGCTGTGTTTGAAATGATTCAGTCTTGTTTTTATCGAATTGGTTGATGTTGAGGTTGTGATTCTAATAACTCAAACAGGTATATTTTATGGTGGACGCCGTATAGCCAATTCCGTGGTTACCTCGACATTACAAAGGAATGAAGGAATGTCTGGAATTAATATGCGATAATTGGGTTACAAAAATGTACTAATTTTAAGCTGAGGGCATCATGAGGGATTTCAATTTCTTCGATACATAAACTAGGAAGGTATGTTTAAATTTCGTCATAAGTAAACGATATATAATTTTATAAAATGAGAAAAAGTAACGTAATTAACGTACTTTTCATCGATCAGGCTTATTTTGTCACAACTCCCAATTGAAATTTCATACTGCTTAATAGCATTTACTACTGACTAATATGCTATGTCGCAGTTCCTGGAATCTACCCACTTTTTCGAATTCTCGAGGGGTGCGACATAGCAGGAGATTGATTGTATTATTATTAGAACGAAATTCCTATTTATGTGTGTGCGTGTTGAGGCGGGATGGGTAACTTAAAATGTTTCTCCTGATCATAAAGTAATAGCCTTTCAGCTGAGTAACTTTCAAGCAAAAAGTACCACTGCACCAAACTTATCAACTAATAAAGTTCCAGGAAACAAGAGTGTTCTGCGAATGTGGAAGAATGAAAATCAGAATATCTAAACTGAACATCGGGATGGAGACAGTTACAGTGATGAATATAATAGGTTCATGCAAATCGACTATTGATCCTAGTCAAGTGGGTGAAGGATTTCGTGAAGTAGTGAATATAACTTCATTCAGGTGTTTCATTTGTATCAGGAGAAACGAATTCAGAAACCAGATAAGTGTCGTTTGAGTCATGAGTATCAGACGTAGAGATGGTGAAGTGTCAATATTAACCGTTGTCAAATACGTGATACTGTGAGTGTTTGCCATGTGAGCAGCCCATAACTTGCCTTGCAACCAAGTCGAATCCCTTGTCTTTCCTCAAATGAGCTGATAGCAATCCTAATGAATGCAAATCACGAATCCGAATCACACTTGGAGTTGAAATCAGAACACGAGATCTCCAATCTCCGAAGTACGGCAAAATGGCCACTGAAGTAGTGGTTCGCTTGTTGCAAGAAATCTATGCGATTTATTTATCTGTACAAAAGTATTCCATTGACTGAACAGTTCGTATCCTGCTGGACATATGATTCCCGTTTGAATCAGCTCGAACATCGGCTTCTCAATGATCGATCTGTCACGGAGAGTTGGTTCACCTCGAGCAGCCCAGATTTAAACTCAACTGAAAACATTTTGGGCATTATTACTGGTAGTGTGCAAAGATTTCATGACTTACCAGTCAGAAGGTGAATTGATGACCAGTATAGGCGGAAGTGGAGGAAAAACTGAAGAAGAGGAAAACCACAAGCCTTATAAGATGTCTAGAGAAGATTCACCAAGGACGTCAAACAGATTGGTGATTGCACTTGGTTTTGGCCAATACTTATATGGGATCCAATACTTCTGTCACCCTCCGTACAGTTCATTTTCGGCTCTAATTACCACATGGTATTTAGCTTCGTTCGCAAGA